CAACTAAATATGTATCTATAACCAATTTATGTGAAGTAGATATAATGAGGTCACATGATCGAGGAATTTTATTCAAGTTATTTCATCCATTATACACTAGCCAAGTAATTTACGGCTGGAATCGCCAATCAACGATCGCATTGCAGCTGAAAGACAAGCCATGAAGTAATTCCATGTTGCAAACAAAAAGGTTGAGTGTGTTATTACCAGTAACACCTGAGCGGAGCGAAACGACACTTATCGTAGTCACAATTGGTGGGTACAGTGAGTAAATAGTAATAATATTAGGTTTGTTTTCCCGATAAGCAGTGCGCGCGATGAAGTGCAACAATGTTCCTGTTTTTGGCGCAATGCAGAATCAGCGCAAACATAAACCCAATCATAGAAATTCAGATGAATCAGGTTGGAAAGACCCCACCCATGGAACAAATTTACAAAAAAGCTCCACCCCAAAGTATAGTATAGTATATTTTATTTGACATGAAATCACCATAATTTATGGTAAACCTAACACATGCACATATACACTAGTTCCAAACTGGGGTCCGCCCATCTGTCCGACAACATGAGTCGATTGGTGTTCAACTGGTTTTGTGTTCAAGATACACAAATCAACAATATGTTTGAGTGATACAGGAAATATTTCTTGCGTGAATACATAGTGCGTAACGATCGACATCAAAGCAGCATACTACGCACTAAGCACAAAATTAAAAACTCCAAATTAATTACAAATAGTTTTATACTAATCATATAGTATTGATTGAAAGTAAATGAGGAAAATAATATATGACCGCTGCATAACATTTCATGGTTTCAGTCAATGCATTTTTGCGAAAAGTGAAGATGGAAGACTCTAATCGTACCTGCCATATTGAGCTATAGTCATGTTGATTTGTCTGTTACTTACATAACAAATAAAATAAACTCAAAGTCTGCCACCGCTGCAAAGCATGAATAAAACAATATGTAAATGAAATAAGCAATGCTCAGACTCAGACCTGTAGTCCAATAAAAATTGTATATTAATGTCTCCTTTTGTGATATCTCAGTTACTTTACATGAATATCATGCATGACTTTGGCAACATCAGGTAAACTGTTTACTTGCTTCGTTGTCTTGTATTGAGCATTTCGAAAAAACGTAACAAAGGACGACCAATTTGACCCTCGGCTTGCCAAGAACAAATCTGCCCCTAAAAATATGAATAAAACTTAAAATAAGTATAGAGTCACATTAATCTATCGCTGTGACTGGGTTTTGTATTTATATCTGTTGTATGTCAAGGATGTGAATTGTAGAGAATTCGTAGCGTTCTTTCAACTACCATTATTCGTCATTCAAATGACATAATATCCTGTAATCCAACACCCAACTGGAAGTTAACAGAATATTCATATTCAAATGTTGAAGTTAGTTGAATATTCATATTCAAATGTTGAAGTTAGTAGAATACTCATATTCAAATGTTGAAGTTAGTAGAATATTCATATTCAAATGTTGAAGTTAGTAGAATATTCATATTCAAATGTTGAAGTTAGCAGAATATTCATATTCAAATGTTGAAGTTAGCAGAATATTCATATTCAAATGTTGAGGTTAGCAGAATACTCATATTCAAATGTTGAAGTTAGTAGAATACTCATATTCAAATGTTGAAGTTAGTAGAATATCATATTCAAATGTTGAAGTTAGTAGAATACTCATTCAAATGTTGAAGTTAGTAGAATATTCATATTCAAATGTTGGAGTTAGTAGAATATTCATATTCAAATGTTGAGTTAGCAGAATATTCATATTCAAATGTTGAAGTTAGCAGAATATTCATATTCAAATGTTGAAGTTAGTAGAATACTCATATTCAAATGTTGGAGTTAGTAGAATACTCATATTCAAATGTTGAAGTTAGTAGAATACTCATATTCAAATGTTGAAGTTAGCAGAATATTCATATTCAAATGTTGAGGTTAGCAGAATATTCATATTCAAATGTTGAGGTTAGCAGAATATTCATATTCAAATGTTGAAGTTAGCAGAATATTCATATTCAAATGTTGAGTTAGTAGAATACTCATATTCAAATGTTGGAGTTAGTAGAATACTCATATTCAAATGTTGGAGTTAGTAGAATACTCATATTCAAATGTTGAAGTTAGTAGAATACTCATATTCAAATGTTGAAGTTAGTAGAATACTCATATTCAAATGTTGGAGTTAGTAGAATACTCATATTCAAATGTTGAAGTTAGCAGAATATTCATATTCAAATGTTGAAGTTAGTAGAATACTCATATTCAAATGTTGGAGTTAGTAGAATACTCATATTCAAATGTTGGAGTTAGTAGAATACTCATATTCAAATGTTGAAGTTAGTAGAATACTCATATTCAAATGTTGAAGTTAGCAGAATATTCATATTCAAATGTTGAAGTTAGCAGAATATTCATATTCAAATGTTGAAGTTACGGTACTTTATATAGTATAATTAAAGTATAACGATGAATACGCAACATTAAAAAAACTATTTCGATTTCTGGAACATATATGAATTGTAAATAATAATATTTTATCATTATATTTGTGATGTATAGATTCAATTAAACATAAATCAGGTTTCTTAAACAAGATTTGATTCCACTACTTATTAATAAATTGTATTACTTTATTGTAAAAGTGCTTTCCCGAACTTACCAAATCTGAATATCAACATGATGTTACAAATTAAATGTATCAAATGTCCGACTTTTAAGAATATAGTAATTAGCTAATTAGTAAACTAGTAAACTAAACTACTAACCGTTCTTTTACGATATCTTATGCAATGTATGTGAACTACGTTAACTTGAACACCGAATGAAGCTGAAATGTTAGCACAAACAACAATTTGCATTGCCCATTGCATTTCCCACAGATTCTCTGCTTAACAGTGTTGTGTGCGCCACCACAATTGACTGATTCGACATAACAGCTGTATCCTTGTAAATATAATTATCATTAACTTACTTTCTGCTATCTCCTGTTCTATTAATGACCACACATAATTATCTTCTTTTAATTTATTCATCTCTCCTGGCAAGGTTATATCGTTTTCTGTCTTCATATTTGGAACTTTTTTCTTCAAATGCAAAAGCATTTTCTGTGAATAATAATAAAGACTTAGTTATCGTTATGTCCATTATCTTTCCCATAGCTCCTTGCGAAAGTATTCGTAGAAATAAAACTCTGCATGGGAGACTGTGTTATGTCGTCACAGGTCCTGTTGTCCCAGCATAGACCTGCAGCGTCAATGGCTTAGTTATCTTTCTCACACTGATCTTAACACATCTCCCAATCCGGACACGTGGGATGTCTGAGTCGTACGGATTATTCTAAAACGAAATTCTGTAGCATTCTGTAACTTCAATAATTCGTGGAGCTAATTCGCCGAAACGACATTATGGATCAGAAAATCATCCATCATCCCAGGAAAATATGGCCACCGTGGATTATATAGCAAAGATAAAACAATTCAAGAATGTTTACATACATGAGGGTATGGGGGCGCTGCTACATATAGAATAGTGATGTTCTGGTCTTTCAAACTTTTCTTAATGGCCTCTGCAATGACGTCACTATACTTATTCGTGATCTTTAAATCGTCTTGCCACTTTGAACCATTGCATAGGTGTGAAGAAGGATTCAAACAACTACAAGAGAGGCAACATTTGACGCGTGTTAGATACATGTCACATTATAATTAAACTCTTCATTAACAAAATATTATTTTGTTATTTGTACACTGGGTTTCAAAATACCCTGTTATATTATTAGTTTAGCACAGTCGACCAATCGTAACGCGGATTCAGGAAATGTACAATGTGGTGTATGACGTTTTGGTTTCAAACTTCAATCTTCCTTTGAAAATGTGTCCATAGTGCAATATTTACATAAATGCAATATGAGTTTACAGAAATATACAATGAGTTTACAATCTCCGAATGAATAAAATTTAACTGTTTATATTTTGTATAAAGACAACGTACATCTCACCCGATTTATTTCGCCAGTGAATTACTGCATACGGTGACCCATCAGAAATCTGTTGGACTGCAATATCCGCGGCATGGCGTACATACGGTGCTCTAGCAAAAGAACCGGCAATTTTGCGATCACACTTTGCTTGTTCAAATTTGTCTCCAAATTTCGACTGTGCTAAGTATATGATACATCTGACTTTGCTAGAAACTTCAACTGGACTGGAATTTGCCCGGTTTTTAGCTAGGTTGTCTTGATATTTCACGACATCATCTGACTCTGGTAAGTTGATATTCATAACTCTTTGAAAAAACGATCGAGCAGTACTATAACTTTTCAGTGTTATTGAATCAGCCAATGTTACAAAATATGGTCCCAATAACACGTTTTCTGGTTTAAAGTGTCGGCCACACTCACTCAGAAACTCGTCAGGTGTTGCTAAATCCACAATTGTTCGTAGTTTTGTCAAGTCAAATGTCTCATCAATGCTACGTTTTTTGCTGACATTAAAAAGGTGGTTGTTATGGAATGGTATGGTCACAATAGATCGGTTGAGATATATAGCAGCTGCAATGCCAGTCCTGAAAAAGCGGAACTGTCCACATGGCCCGCTATTGTAAAAGAAAATTGGCAGCAAATAACAATGATGAGCAGAAATGTTTGATGACACGTTACTAAATAATTGCTTATCTTGTGAGACCGGTCCTACGTTGTATTGTGTGTCC